AGAGAGACCCCAATACTCTGTAATGAGAGAGATACTACAACAGAAGCTGTACAGTCTACTATAATAGACAAGCAGCTCTAAATGTAATGGGAGCCCCTTCCCACCACCCCAGCACAAACTTTATTCACTGAACAAACTTTGCTGAGTCTAAGTCATGATCATCTTCTACCTGAACTACTGCCCCAGTGCCCTAACCAGGGCCCCTTGCTTCAACTCTTGTTTCCCAAGTCTCTCTCTACAGTACAGCCACAATCATTTTTATGAATGCCTCTTTGTTCATTCCACTCTCTCCTACTTGGAATAAAACCCAAATTCTTAATTCCACAGCCCAGACCTCTCTGACCTGAGCTCTCTCCAGCTCACTCGGCCACCTGCTCCCTTGACTTCTTTTTTTTTTTTTTGAGACAGAGTCTCTCTCTGTTGCCCTTGGTAAAGTGCTGTGGCGTCACAGCTCACAGCAACCTCAAACTCTTGGGCTTAAGTGATTCTCTTGCCTCAGCCTCCCAAGTAGCCCGGACCACCCAGTGTATGTGGCCGGGGCCTTGGCTGCTGAGTCACAGGCGCCATTCTCAATTAAGCCTCAGAACTTTGCACTTGCTCTGTCCCTTTTGGCCAAAGAACTGCTGTTCTCAAAACACCTGCCTGGAATCTCCCTCATTTAACTCAGGTGTCCGCTCAACTGTCATCTCATCAGAGGCCTTCCCCAGTCATTTGATCGAAAAATACCAGCCTGCCCCTCTATCTCCACCACTCCCAGCCCCTTACACTGCTTTGTTTTTCCCCATTTCCTTCAGACTAGCTGACACGCATTCATTTGTTTACTGCCTGCCTTAACTTGGCCAAATACAAGCCTCCTGAGAGCTCCCGGGTCCTCTGCTCACGGCAGCCTCCCCAGGGCCTGTGAGTGTTTGGCCCACAGTAGGTTGTTCAGTGAGTGAGTGGAGTGAATGAATACACGGATTTTAAGTGAGCACTTTCTATGTGCCAGACTCTGTGCCATATGGAGATAAGGATGAACAGGATCTAGTTTTTTCCCTGAAGGAACCTAAAATCAAAGGAGACCCATATACAGCTAATAGAGAGGAACGTGAACTGAGCTTACAGTGTTGGAGGAGAACTGTGGGGTAGCCAGAGACCAGGCAGGACAGGTGGGAACTGGACTACGAAGGCCCTTTGGCTAATGAGTTGTTCTCTGTGTGGGCACCACCACAGAGCACTAAGTAAGAGGGAAAGAGGAAATGCATCTAATTTAAAAACCAGAACCGGCAGAATTAGAAGTGACAGAATTTAGTGACTACAGGGATTACAGGAACTGAGAAGTTCTCGGTTTCTAAGAAATGCCACTGGCCAGACGGGGAAAACAAGGTGGAAGACGAAGAGAAATCTCATTTTAGGCAAAGTGACTCTGAGGTCCCTACGATCCTCATACCAAGTCGTAACGATTTCTCTGGTGACTCGGAAACTCTAAATCCTCTTCCCTGGCTTTCTCTGGCAGGTGTGTACACCATCCCAGAGGGGCCGAGCCACACGTATCACACACAGGTGCCACCGTGTCAGCCATGATTTAGCCATGCATGAATAGTCCTTACGCCTTCAGCTTGATCAAATCTGTACGTTTAATATATTCTTTATCATGCTTTCTTAAAACAAGGGATACCTGTTTTGCAGTGGAGTCTGACACAAATGCAGAGATTTCCCAGGAATTTTTCCTAGTCAGTGGCTTGAAAGTCCAATTCTAAATGGGGAGACAACATTATTTAAAATTTTAAAAACCAATAAAAGTTCTCGAGGACAGATTACCGTTGCTTTCCACTTGAAAATGTCATGGCAATCCCACGTGGACATATGTATATAGACACATATACACACCGGCAGGAGGGGGAGATGGTAAGAATGAAAGGAGGGGAAAAGGAAATTTCAGTACACAACATCAAAAGCTATGTTCAACAGTAAAGAACAATTATATACAACACAGTGAAAGAACTGAGTGTCACAATGTCACCGCTTCAACATCAAGGTTTTCCAACACCTGCAACTCTGATTAAATGTGTGCTGTTAGGGAGTTCGGGCCAAACCCCAGTGATTTCCTTGCTCAATTAGTAAGTCACCTCGACAGTGCCAAACCCCGATTCTTCTCTAAAAAAGCCCAAGAGGCTGAAATAAGGAAGAATAGGCAAATTTTTCTTAACGGCTCCAGGACTCTTAAAATCAAAGTAAAATGCCCTGTCGGAAACTACTGCCCAAACAGGCTTAATTTTGAGGATTTGTATAAAAGGGTCCTTGGTGGCAAAGCTCCTGGTGAAGCTGAAGAAAGGTCAAGACTCCGAACAGTCAAATGCAAAAAGAATGGGTGGTTAACTCTGTTAATGAGAATGTCCCACAGCCAGAAGGAGTCATGGCCCCCAAAGGCCAGATAAATACCTGACTAGGCCGCCATCACCAACTGACTACAAACCAGGGGTCTCTCTGACACGACAGAAGATCTCCTCTTCTTTGTGAGAGCCAGGGGGAGCCATGTCACTCACACTCACCTCTGTCATGCCCTCTGAATCCTCCCTCCCACCTCTTCCATGCCTGCTGGGCCCTGGGCACTGAAGAGGTCACAAGGGAGAGATGGGAAGCCAGGGACATGCCCAGAGGGAGACAGGGAGGGAGGATGCTTAGGGCCATCCTGACAACGGTCTGCTCAGTCAGCTTCCACTTCCCACGTTCTTAACCGCCACAGCTGGAAACCAGAGAGAAGACTTCAAAGGATCCTCCACTGGATGCATTCTGGACAAAAACACTCCAAAGCCAATAAAATTCCAACGTAACTAGTGCATCCAGTAATATCAGAATGAAATAGAACACAGAGGCACAGGACATCTAGACTGAGAGGCCCTGATTTTATCTGTGCTAAGAACAAGGCTGCTGTGATTGAGGAATCCGCACACACCAGCCTGCATGTTAGGGCTCAGCTGGGGCTGGACCCCAGGCTGCCTGCACTCTAACACTGGGTTAATTTTCTCCAAAACACAATCGATTGCTCTACTGCTGCTGAATAATTGGCTCTAGTACTGGCAATAAGTACCAGGAAAACAAAACTTAGAAAGATAAACAAGTTTGAGGCAAATTCTCTGCTAGGAAAAACAAAATAAACATCAAAAAAATTGGTCCTATGGTTAGGACGTTTTCTTTGAACAAGAATAAAATTACTTAAAAGTAACAGGTCTGTGAAATATTTGAACCTGTACAATTTATGACGTACCGAAATTATATTCTGGGGCAGCAAATTATTCGCTTGCATATAAGAATTTTAATGAAAAACCAGAAAATGAACTCACAAAAACAAAACAACAAACATCAGGAGAAAACCAGAAAGCATAATTTTAGTTGGCCTTGCTTTTGTAAAGGTAAAGTACTGGCATTTTTTTTCCCCAATAGGTTTTTAGGAAAAAAGTTTTAAAGTCAAAAAGATAGGCTGGGTGCAGGGGGCTTGCGCCTAGCACTTTGGGAGGCCAAAGTGGGAGGAATGCTTGAGGCCAAACCCAGTTTAAGACCACCTTGTACAAGAATGGGACCCATTTTCTACAAAAAATAGAAAAATTAGCCAGGCCTGGTGGCAGATGCTTGTGGTCCCAATTGCTCAGGAGGCTGAGACAGACTGCTTGAGCCCAGGAGTTGGCGGTTGCAGTGAGCTATGATGATGCCACTACACTCTATCTTGCACTCTGACAACAGAGTGACACTCTGTCTCAAAACATACAAATCAACCAATCAACAAAAAAAATCCACAGTCAAAATGTCAAAAGCAGGACGAAAATTTGGCTGGCAGCTGAAAAAAATGAATGTATTTAATAAATTCTTCTCTTTTCTTATTTATAAAGCCTATTCCCATCTAGCTAGCCTCTTAAAGCTAAAGCAACAAAAAAAGATCTTCCACCAAATCAAATGCAGCCCAGACCATCAATTCCATTTCCAATTTAGCTTAAATTTTAGGATTAAATGACTTTCTTTACTTTAGTTAAAGACCGTCGTTCCCTGGAAATGAGTTAGGAACTACTTTTATTTCCATTTGCAAATAACAATTTATGAGGTTAAAAAAAAACCACACAGTCCTTATAAAACGTAACAGGAAAAAACTCATCACTTCTGTCCAAGAAAGCTGCACATGAACTCTCATTCTACATTTTGATTTCTTGATTTCAGATGATTTCTTTCCTATTCAACCACACTGTGGTCACGAAACACAGTCCACCAGAGATAAACTCAGCTCCTTAACAAACCCTTTTCCAACCCCCATCAGACCCCAATGACAGGGTAATGGAGTGTTTACTGGCCACAGGTAACCTGAGCCAACAGCCTGCTTAAGGAGTTCCATGCTGAGTTTCCAGGTCGGGATGCGAGAAAGTCACTTTGGAGCCCCTTGAAAGTAAATGGCAGTTGCATACTTAAGACCCCAGGAAACCTGAATGGCACAGCCACATACTGCATTAAGTGTCACACCTAGAAGGTAGGAATTCACTCATGTTTATCCTAAGCCATCCTGAATGTTATGTGTGAAAGATCTTTAAGTACATATTGCTAAGGTTCCAGATGTCTGACTCTGTGTGGGAAAAGCTACGCGGCAAGTCAATGCTGAGCCCAGCTGTCAACAATTTATTTAACAGGTTAATAACCCAATCCAGATTAGGTATTTTATCTGTTGCTCAGTAGCCTGTACTCTGAATATGTTTGAAGACTTCCCTCCTTGTTAAGTGAAAACAAAACGTCATCTCTAACATTCCTTCCAGTTCATCATTTTCTCTGAATCTTGTACCAAATAAGCAACAAACACAGCATTTTCTTAAAGCTGCCAGAGAGTGAGTTAATTGAACAGGGCACATGGTTAAAAAAGAAACAAAAAAGAAATTAGTATGTGTTGATTCCAACTACTTGGTAAAGTCATTTCTAAATGCTAATCAGATCTCCAGAGTGCAGACCCCACAATCACGGAACCTTACAGCTTGTACTTTACTTACTTGTATTTTAAGAGCAGCCACTGAATTAACCAGAGTCCTACAAGGATCATGCCGTTAATTTCACAAATAGAAAAGGCCCACTGCACCCGGTTAAAATGGTCAAAAAACGTGTCCGGTAGTGGAGGCTGCACCTCCTTAGGAGGTACTCGTTCATGGACGACCGAGATCATCACTGTGGTGAGGACAAAACAGCAAAGTGCATAGAGAAAGGCCAGGAAAGTCTTGCCCCACTCCATGGGGTACTGAGAGCGCTCGGGCTCCGGCATGGGGATCTTGATCATCTCCTTCCTGTATCCATTTGGCATTCCGTTGGGTTTCATCTTGATGGTGAAGCTGCCGTCGGGCGTGGGGACGTCTGTGCCGATGCTGAGGTGCCCGTTGGCATGGCCGTTCTTGTGTGCTTCCATGTGGTGCTCCATTTTCAGCGTCTCAATCATGTCCAGGAGCCGCTGCCCGTTGTCAGAAGAGACTCTGCACAAGGGGGGTTTTGTGAAATCTTCTTGGGTCAAGTTGATCAAGTCCCGGCCCGTGAAATGTTCCAGAGCTTCACAGTATTCTGGCATAGCATTCTCCAGCAGCCAGTCTGCCACCTTCTTGGGTGACCAATACACCACCTCCTTCATGGTATTGGCAGACAACAGGCAGGCCAGCTCACGCTCAGCAGGTCAGCAATCACCGTTCCTACAGGGCAGGACACTGTCCCGCCATGGCTCACTCATCCTTTCAGGTCTCATGAGCAGAGACTTGTTTGGCAAGATGGTCTGGAAAGTTTTTAAACACCTCATGTAGCTATCCAGGGTTCCTGAGTGCCCGAGCATTAATTCACCTCATTTTTGAACGGGATTCTTCCTTCTGTGGAGACAAGAGAAAAGATCAGGATACTGGGACTTCCCAAGCCCTTGAAATGCAAAGCAGTTACTGTTAAACTCTGTGGTTTCCAAATGTATATTAGTTACCACTGATTCCCTGGTTATTAGTGTCCTGTGACAGAGCATTAAATTGTATCCGAAAATGGATAAGTTGAAGGGGACATGTTTTATAGGATTCCTAATGGTGTATTTTCTAAGAAATAATTTAATAGTGCTTTGGACATTTCTTAATATAGACCAGTGGTTCTCTTTGTCCTTACAGGCTTCCTAAGAGAATTTGAAAGAATATGGTAAATTTGCTTAATCTACCATTCTATCTGGTGAAGAATGTTTAAAAATGACGTAACACACAGCAACTTAACAGATAGCATAGAAGAAAATCACAGGAATGCTGAGCTTCAAGAGATCCTCTTACAATAATTTTAGACTCCTGTACCAAAAAATCAGTTGAGTCCCCTTTTCCAAATGTGCTTAGGCCCCAAATATATGAAAGAGTTATAAATGCAGCTGCCTGGGTGAAAGCACAGGTGGAGTGAAGGCCAAGTTCTTGCCTGAAGTTGATCTTTCTATTCCCAGCCCTCAGTGGATTCTGGGGAAGTTTGAAAATGAAGAATCTGATCAAATTCCCTCATTTGCAAGTGAGGAATGTGAGATTTAAAAAGGTCAAGGAACTCACTCATGGCCAAACAGTAGCCTGTTTCTGAGTCCCAGTTCAGCATGTTTTTTAATTAAATATGTGACAATAACTAAAAGGCACATCATTAAAGAAGATTCTAAGGCAGGATTCAAAATTTTATAAATTGAATATAAAAATATATAAACAGTGTGTATAACATATATTATAACCATAATCATGGTTCACAAGTACAGGTTGAGCATCTCTCATTCAAAAATCCAAAATCCAATGCTCTGTATCCAAAACTTTCTGTGCCCCAACCTGACACTCACAGAAAATGCTCATTGTAGCATTTAGGATTTCAGATTTTGGATTAGGGATGCTCAACTGGATGAATTCTGCTAATATTCTAAAACCCAAGAAAAACAAAATCTGAAACACTTTGTGTCCCAAGCATTTCAGATAAGGACTGTTCAACGTGTATAACATTGCTTAAAATAACTGGAAAGAAATACATCACGTATTAACTGAAGTTACACTTGATGACGAGAAGTTCTGGCAGCATTTTCTATTTTTCTTTAAAAGGCACATATTAATTTTATAATGAGCATTTAAAACAAAAAGTTAAAGACAAAAGACCTAATGCTATAATAAAGTATCACGATTAACGAAGGATAGCCTTTGACAGAAAGAGAGCCCTGTTCACCCTCAGCATTTGCCCATGCATAGAACCTGTTACGTGGGCTTCAGCTTACTCACCTATAAAATGGGATAATAATAATGAAATCTTTCTCTCATAGGTCGGTGTGAGTACTTAAGTAAGAAACCAGATGGGAAAGTTAATGAAATATAACCTAGCTCTAAAAGAAGTGATTTTCAAAAGGGTCCCTCTTGGGTGTCTATATCCTTTTCTTCCCATCTCAAATTGTCTATCATCTCTAACAGCCACTGTCCACTACATCTCCCTAGGACAAAGCCTTGTCTAACTTTCTTCTCAAATGATAAATGGTGTGTTAATTGCAAAGTGCTTGCACAGAGCTGGAGGTTTAAGAGCTGAAAACTACGGATGACACTGTTTTCCAAAGCATGTTTCTGTAGAATAATAATCTTACAAAATGTTCCCTGCTTTAAAAAAAGAAACAAAACTCTGTAGGCAAATAAGCCTAGAAAGTGCATGCTGTGATAGCTTCCTGGGGACAGCAGCACACATCAGGATGTTAAAAGCTCGAGAAAATCTTCCAGTAAAGAAACTATCACCAGGATTTCTCAAACAGACTTCAAGGCTGTCCTACTCCCTGCCCTTTTTTCTATTGGAATCACCTCCAGGGAACCCCAAAATCTGTCCCTGGAGTAAGAATGGTCCATTCTCAAATTTCTAGTCTGGATAATAAGCAATTGAATAGCAGTAATAGCTTTAAAAGATATTCCAGACCAATAAGGCATTCCCTCTTCTGAGTGCCCACGGTTCTGTACCCCCACACCTTCCCATCACTCCCTCTCGGATTGTCCATCTGTATCACCACCCCTCAAGCCTATGAGTAAGGAAGAGCTACAACCTCAGAAGCTTCAAAAATATGCGGATCACTATGAAAGTTCTGAGACAGACTGTGTAATGGTCCATCATTTCACTTTCGAGAAACACAGTCAGCAGCATCCTTTCTGATTCATCTGTGCAAGTTTCAACTTGCGAGGTTTATGGGGGGTGTTGTGGGAAGGGTTTCATTTGTTTCCGTTCACGTGGATTTTACATTTTTGATTTTTGGTTATCCCAAAACTTTCACAACAATCCCACATACTATCTAGATCTTGCAACATGTGCATGGTTTAATGAAAAACATACCTCCTGAAAATGTCAGTGATATTGAAAAATACTTTAAAACAATTTGGATGGGCAAAAAAGTGTTCTCTAGAAAGAAATATAAAACAAAAGTGAATCTCAGACCATTTCAAAGCCACTACAGGGGAATTTCAGCTGCCATCAGTGCTGAGAAGGCAGGCACGCCAAACGGGAGCTGTGGCAGGAGGTCGTGCAGGAAGGGGATCTCCTTGGCGTCAGACCCAGGGATTCTCCTCAAACACTCCTCAGCAGAAGCAGGACGAGAGCCAAGGAACCCTCTGCATTTTGAAGTGGTTACGAGAACTCTACAGAAAAGTCCTCAGTGGAGTGTTCTGCCCCAAGGGAAACGACCACAGGCTGTTCACCCAAGCTCTCCGCTTTCCCCCTTGCCCAGGGCAGGAAGTCGGCCAGGGTGGGAAAGCCCCTCAGAACCACAGAGACAGACCAAGACCAAGGTGGTATTTCACTTCTCTCTGATGGAAAGAATAGTCAGATCTTCTCCTCTGAAGAGAGAATAAACCTTAAAATAGGAGAAATAAATCAAATGGGTAGGAGACAATGTAATATAGGGCCACAAAGCCAGCACCTGGCCCTGCAGCACGGCAGGCATCCACCTAAGCCAAGAGCGCTCACAAAGGGGGAGTTTCCGAGAGCCAGAGAAACCGACAGACGGCAAGACAACTAATAGCTCCCACTGGTTAACTGGGACAAGGAGAATCATTCCCTTCTCACGAGAACCCCTGTATTTCCCTCCAACTTGCAATTCTCCCTCTAATCCTCATTAAGTCCAGAGTCTTCCCTTAGTCGTTGAGGTCCTTCTCTACAAAGCCTTACCTGGCCACTCACAATTCCTTGGATTTCTGCCTGAATTCCTACACCATGAATGCCTGTGACAGAGAATATAATTTAACACCCTTGTGGGCATGGTGTAGAAAGGGCATTAGCTGTGTGACTCAGGAGCCTGCGTCTGAGATCCAACTCAGCTACTTCCTTTCTTGACAAAGTCCTTTCACCTCGCCAAGCCTCAGTTTTCTCTGGAAAATGGGATCAAAGACTACCATCCCTGTCTCCACACGGGCTCCTGCTCCGAGGATCCAATCATGTAAAAAGAACACCAACTATTAATTATTTCAACTATGTACATCCTGATCTTTTTGTAATGTCCTATACTTCTTTGCTAATGCCCAACTGGACCCACAGTGGCATTTCCTAAATACCTAGTGAAGCTGCCAAGTTCAAACAACCCTTTTAAAGCCCTATCATTCTGACACACATGAGAAAAGACAGCCTTCCAAATTTCATGAGTAAATAAACCATTATTTCTCAAGCAAGTTTCAAGGCTCAGTGCCCACAGCATAGTGGTTATGGTGCCAGCCACATATACCAAGGCTGGCGGGTTTGAACCTGGCCCAGGCCAGCTATACAATAATGACAACTGCAACAAAAAATAGCCGGGTGTTGTGGCAGGCCCCTGTGGTCCCAGCTACTTGGGAGGCTGAGGCAAGAGAATCGCTTAAACCCAGGAGTTTGAGGTTGCTGTGAGCTGTGACAGCACAGCACTCTACTCAGGGTGACAGCTTGAGGCTCTGTCTCAAAAAATTTAAAAAAAAAAAAGGGAAAATAAAGGCGTGCATGCTGTTTTCCTACAGCTGAGGCTGAAGCTGTGCAAATGGGGAAAAAGCGAATTGCTGTGACAGTGAACTGCTGGACAGCTACTCCGTCTTTCAGAGACCACTGCTAAAAGGTGGAGACTTCCTCAGAGACCTCAGAGCCCAGCTCAGAGGGAAAGGTGAGAGTTACTTTCCCCAGGACTCACATACTCGATGCAGAATATACTGTGGTGATTTTGAAAAGGCAAAAGCAAAGTGCTTCCACATCTAGGCCCAGAAGACTGTATGTCAGCCTCGGCTCATAAAACAGCTACCATCATCCTGCAGAAAAACCTATCTGGAATCCATCACGGTGAGAATTTTTTAAAAATAACAGAACCTAAATAACAGAATTCTCAGAACTGGGAAGAAATAACAGAAGAATAAAAACTGTATTAAATTCTTTATCCTGAAATATCACAAAATTCGTGAGATAAAAGAGGTGCTGGAACTCTCATTCAACTGTGATTTTGAGAAATAAGTGAACTTAAGCTCATTAAGATCGTGATTGGTCTAAAATCTCATGTACAGCCAAGAGCCGACCCTGGGGCTAGACTGAGAGGCGAGATGCTGTTCCGGTCTCTCTCACTACAAAATATTTGAGGGCCCCACAGATTTGAAAACGTATGAAAGAAAGTCTAAAAAATCTTTTTAAAACACAGTAGTATCCATAAGGATAAAAGGCAGGAACAACAGGACATATTCATTATGGACTCCAAACTTCGTGGGATTTTCTATCTGTCCTCTACTTAGTAGAACATAAATCTGCTAAATTTAATTTGGCTCCCATTTTTAAATAGATATCTTAGTCTTTAATTTTATAAGAGCCATCAGATAATATGCCATGATACTGTATAAACTATTTATAGTTAATTATCAAA